GGTCACCTAGCCTTCTCGGATATTGATGAAATATTTCGGAGTTTCTGTTTTTTTAGCTGTGCACATTCAAGGTTGCTCAGTGGTCTTAAAACCAATTTAAAAAGAAACAAACAAACAAAGAAACAACAAAGAAAACCAGGTTTCAGCCCATACGTTGGCACAGCAGTGGATGCTGACTATTACAAGATGGGTTGGAAACACAGATGAGACCAGTAATCAGAACAAGTAGCGGGGTCTGCCCGAACAAAGCGTTGTCTTCCATCATGACAACGCGACTGTGCACACTGCTCTAAGGTCTCAGATCTCCTGGACCCCTGCCTGGCAGAGAGTAAGCCTTGAACATCCCTGCTTTTCCATAGACTTCGCATCATGTGGCTTTCATTTCTGGTCCCTTTTCAAAGAAAGACTAAGGGGGAAGTGATTTGAAGACGAGGAAGAAACTGTGCTGGAAACAAATGTATGTGTGTGTGGACCTGGAACAAAGGCCCAGTTGTCAAAAGTTTAGGATATTGGGAATAGGGGCACGCCCTTATAGCCAATTTAATACTGAACCCGTTGATTTTTTTTATGTTTCAAATATCTCAGTAGTTTTAAACATGTGGCACGTTTTATAACATAGGGTGTAAAACTAAAGTTTGGAGAAAACCCCAATTTCTAGCACATTTCAACCTTTGATGAAGAATAATGTACTGCAAAAAATACTGCGCTAAGGATTCTGGCAGAAGACGACCTGGTCCCTGCGTTTGACCGCTGGCTACATCGGATGAAAACGTGCATTGAGATCAACCGTTGTTAAGTAGCACAGAAATCATGTTTCTGTGCCAATGTATTTATTTGATGACTGTAAAAGAAACATTGTTGATTTTGCTTAAAGAACAGGGAATCTTCCTTCTGAGACAGACGTCATAAATATGGCGTGACAATCTCAGGTAAGCACAAGAGACACTTAAGGTTACAGTAGCACCCCTTGCTCAGGTTGATGCATTAATCAGATAGTAATATTTATTGCATGCTTGCACCTCCCCCCCCCCCCAAACACTCAAATACACACAAAAACGACCACTTCAGGTCAAACACACACCATTTGCATCCCTTCAAACGTCATCAGGGTGCAGAATTCAACAGACGAGTCCCATGAGACGTCTGTCGGTTGACGATGTGTGCAGCTACTACTTTCTTACATCTCAACGGTCCGCATTCTCTAAGCAGATCATCATCTACGACCATTTTCCTGTTCGCAAGGTCAACTTGGATCAGAGGAAAACAATGTGTTCATCATTCCTCGATTGTCTTGAAAAGTGGGAACATTTCCTCGATGACATATTTTTCCTTTGCAAAGCCCTTTTTAACTTTTCAGGATATAATATGCTAACTCAACAAATACTGTCTATTGGGCAATCTCACCCTTTCACCCAATAATTTCTTGAAACAATTCCATACCGTAAGGTGTACAGAGTGTGTGACCTTGAGTACATAATTTTGCGTTTATGGGTGGTATCTATAAAAGCCATTTCCGTTTTCAAAAATATGGTTCTCCTTTGTGAATTTTATATCAAACTAATTCCTGTTGAATGAATTATATCTTTTTCCAAATAATAACAACAACAAGCCTATTTATCAGTCACAAAACGCCAACTGGATTGCACAGGAGAATCTCAACTATTACTCTGTGTGTCTTCTCTTACTCTCAGCAGCCTCAATAATGGCCACTCTGTGTCACGTGGGATCTGCTTTCGTTTACATGCAAAAGAATTTCGAAGTCTGGCTGAAAGCTTGGAGTCAGAGGTTGTTGTACAAAGTGTCTACTGACAAAATTCAAAATTAAATCATATCAAACTGAAAATGCTTTATGTGTTCCGTGAGCTTGTATGACCTTATTATGCAGGTGCGAGGGCCATAAAACACTTAAAAAACCCTTCTAAAATGAAGTTCAGTGAACAAAGTACACCGTCTCGTTAGAATCGCGCCAAGGGGGATAACGACAAAACGTCTATTTGAGGGAATCGGGAAATAAATTTATAAGAAAATGCTAGTTGGACTGCACATGGAAATCTCGACATATTTCAGCGTTTGTTTTCTCTTCTGATGAGTTGCCTTAACAAAGCCACATAGAGTGAGGTGTATTCTGTTTTCTTTTACATGTGAGTGTGTATGTGTATGTCTGTGTGTATATATGTGCGTGTGTGTGTGTGTGTGTGTTTCGTGTGTGTGTGTGTTT